ACACTCATTCCGATATATTTGGAGTCATTAAGCGCTGGAATGCTAACATGTCTGGTCTCCCAGGCCAGGAATATGCCAAATGCCTGAACACACAAATCAATCAACACATTGAAGAAATTGCAAAAAAAGTCAAAATTCTTTTGAATTATTTGCTAACCATTAGAAGACCTTTATATACATATATTGAGCCCAAAAATATAGTCATTCTCTTGCTCTGGCAATACTCCATTTCGGGAATCACCCAAATGTCCTCGTTTTGCGGTGACGGCTACAAACCCATCATATATTTTAGTCAACTTATACATCAAATATTATTAATATAATTTATGTGCTCTACAGTAACTTATATGCATAATATAAATAATGTATTATATTATGATTCACAATTCATATCTTATACTATAAAGCAATTCCGGTATAAGTATTAACTAATCCTAATGCAAATAAAATAAGTTATTTTTATTAATATTCTACAAATATATATCAAAACTGAATAAATATTTGGAATGGATTTCTTTATAGGAACGGACAGATTCTTGTTATTTATGAAATATTACACTTTCTATTGAATCTTGACTTGAATTTAAATTTAAGAATTTTGAAATTCAAAACAGATATCAATAAGTTATTTATTGATGGCTGTAATGCGAGTGCTATTGGAGTCATTGGAGTGGTTTACCTCTGCCGTGCCATTGTGTGTATCCCTGTAAAAAGGGTCGACTATTTGCCAAGTAGTGAGAGTGGCCACATCAATGAACACCAGTACCGCGACCACCATAAATAATTTGTAGTCTTTAATGAGCTGCATATTTGTCGAGTAAATAGAAAATCATATAAAAATATAATTTTTCAGCAATGTTGCAAAAAAGCTTTTAATTGAATGAACACCAGTACCGCGACCACCATAAATAATTTGTAGTCTTTAATGAGCTGCATATTTGTCGAGTAAATAGAAAATCATATAAAAATATAATTTTTCAGCAATGTTGCAAAAAAGCTTTTAATTGTTCAACAAACTTTTTTATTGAGTTTAATGTTTGTGAAGATCGCGTGAACTCTCCACGTCTTACTGAACATACTGTACGAGAAATCATCAATTTTTATATAATGAATAAAAATTGTGCCTAACACTATTTAAATTAAATATTAGGCATACCTTCCAAATGCGAGTGTGAAGCCAGACATGAGAACCCATGCCCGTCCCTAAACACAAATATTTTATTAGTAAAATATTTCAAAATTGAAAATAAGGTGCTATTCAGCGAACGATAAAAGTGTTTTAAATGAAATATTTATATGATTATGATGTACTTACAGCACATATATATGGGAAATTTGATTCACTGGTTAGACCGCTATCTAAACCGAGTAATATTACGCTCGTATACGTAAGTATGCATCCGATTATGATCATATTATTTAAATAAGGACTCGACATCTTTATGTATCTGAAAATACAATAACAACTCATTTGAATTTCATTCATATTTTACACACTATATATTTTTTGACCAATATTTTTACTATATCTGAAACAACAAACTGTGTGTATGTTTTTTAAAATATTTGCTCTCAATATTGACGTTTTCTACAGATTTCTTTTAAAATATATTTAAATTTAATATTCGTTTTGATAGAAATTTTTATTTTTAAGCGAATCTGTTTTCATAATCATATTAGACATGTTATGCAAAAGGCTTTCGAGTTTAGGGTTTATACGAAAAAATCTATAAAATATAGCGGAATATAAAATATAATAAAATAGAAATGTATTTAAATTGATGTAAAATTTGTTGTTCAATGGATTACACAATGCGTTTAAATGCTATACTTTCTCACAAATCAAATGTATTTCCAAACAATTAAAACATTTGTTTGAGTTTAAGAGCTGTTAATTTATATCATATTTAAAGCAAAATTTTTATGAACACGTGAATTGCTAATAATGTCGTATAATATAGAAATTTTTGCAAAACAATAGACAATTTTTTAAAACTTGATTTTCGTATTATTCTCTTTATATAATGAAATGCGTGAAAACCATTGGTTTAAAAATGGATAAAACAATTGAAAGACTTGTCTTTTCTAAACCAAAACTAAACTCATGATGCGATAGAGTAGCGTATATTCAGTGTTAGTATTGTCTAAAACATTATTCTGGTATTCATTTTGTTTGGTTTATGACAAGAAGAGAGAGAAATTCAT